TGTTCTCCTGTCTCCCGATCAGGGTCCATTGCATGAAGCTTTGGACGGGGAAATAAGATAATATTGTTTATAATCGCAAGAAGTACTGGTTCTAATGGACTGTGCTAACGATGAGCTGACTGTCGTTCAGATGATGCCTGTAGTTGCGCTGTCTAAAACAGGGTTTTCACCAGTCTTTGTACTTAACTTAGCTATTGTTCAGTGCAAACACTTCTTTTGTAAAACCATAAGCCCGCCAGTTGTCAGCCGTACACACACACGCGTTCACCATTTGTGTGTCCTGCTTCAGTTACTGAATTTTAAGATTACACATGCTAACATTTAAGCTGTTGTGAAATGCATTGCTCATCTGTCTTTTGGTTCTACAGCCCATTAATATATACAGTAGGGTAGTCTTTGAGCCATCAACCCTGTGGAATGAAGTGACTTAACTAGATGCTGTCCTGATGCATGTGGTAATGAAACCGGTCCAGTTATAATATATATTTAAAAAAAACGAGAAACCGTAACCAGTGAGTTTTGCGTCCGCGCACAGAGCGGAAGATTTTCCGGAAATAGGAAAGCTTCGGGAACGGCACTGGCCGTCCAACGGAGCAGGTGTCCGCCTCCACCACCCGAAATCTGAGGCGCTGGGGTCAACACTCTAGGGCGTTTAATAAGACGGTCGTGCCCCAGGGGTCAGGCGAGCGAGCCGTTTACTTTCCTACGGCCTGGTCACTCGGCTGGAGTGGATGACGAATGCGTGATCGCACCGACTTGATCCGTCACCTTCCAGGTCGGGGATGTGCTGAAAGCAGCGGGCCCCTCTGTGCAGTGACGTGGAAAACAAATTAAAATGGGGGTCTGTCGGCGTTGGGGAAACATTTTTTCCCCCACCCCTTATTGCTCCTGTCGCGAGTAAGGGAGACACTGTGCTGTCAGTAGTTTAGCTGAGAATCCATCTCGCCGAAAGCTTTAAAACTGCACCGTCTTCCCAACTGAGCCCTCTGTAGCGGCCCGGAGGTTCTCCTTGCGGTTTCCCCCCGGTGGATCTAGAATGACCTCAGTACGGGATCGGAATTGCTTTCCTGAACGGCAGGATTGTTTTTCTTCACCTACAGAAAAACTCTCCGCCTTTGGTGACAAACCCGAACGGAACATTTGGTGGAACAAAACGGTAATGGGCCTTTGTCGCATCTTTTTATTTTCCTTGCAGCACTTGCCTGGAAGCTTTTAACACGTTCTGAAAATTGGCTTGGTGTGTATATGTGGGGTTAAGTCTGTATTTCTGCGGCAGCGTCATACAGTAATCTTATTTATTCTCGTGTTGAACTGTTTGCATAGGGATTTTAAATAATTTAGTGTTTTTCTGTAAAGTTATTTAGTCCAGCAAGTTTGCACATAATGCATAAAATATCAGTCTCTGCTGAAGCCAGAAAACACCACAGCAGATTAGATGAAAAGTGGCGCTTGTTACTCTGTGAACACTGATTTGTGTCTGGAGCTTTGTTCTGAAGACAATCTGTTATGAAACATCTTAGCTGTGAAATACCTCAAGGTGCCTGATGTGCAGTGAAAAAGGTTTTTTTTTTCCCCACTGTGGGGGGAGAAAAGCAAGACTTGCTAAATGTGGAGGTAACATGGGATGATCTTAAGGAATTAAAGAAGAACAAATCACGTTTTCCAACAGTGAGGTTCAATGAATGGGGGGTGCTCTTAAAAGCTTCCCAAGCCACAGATAAAACACAGATTAGCATAATGTATAATGTTTGCCGATGGAGTACTTCTCATAAGGAGCGAGAGTTGAAGGTTTCCCTGGCCTCGCCCGGCATGCTTGCAGGGCATGATGATGACGAGTGTGGCACCCGCGCTCGTCTGCGCACTGACGCATTCTCGCTGGGGGTTAATCTGCCCAGGGGTGTTAAAAACGTTCTGCAAAGGAATGAAATGCGTTCTCTCTCATCTCCTCTCTACCACTGCACCCCGACGAGGAAGAGCCGGCTAGGGTTTTCTCTCCGTTCCTGTACTTGTACACTTCCTGGTATCTAATTATAGCCTCGGTTCTCTTCGTAAGTGATCTTTGACAGATGCTAATCCAGCAGCCCTACCAGCGATTTGGTAGGGCTCTGAAAAATCACAAAAGACTTGTGGAGAATATTTGTTGAAGTCCTCATCTCGCGCGTCTCCTCTAAGTCTACAGTATTACATATTGACAAGTATTTTGAAAGCGTCGAGGCTGTTGAATAATATGCAGCATTTATTTGATCTTTAAGGTGCTGAGATTTTTGCGCTCCTCTTGTCGCAGGTGCAGGGATTAGAGGAAATCTGGTAGGTTCACACTGGGGAAGAGGCGAGGGGATAAAGGAATGGAATGCTAATGGCATTTTATTTTATTTTGGACTTAACGTTAATTGAGACAGCAGTGCGTTTCCGTGCTTATTTTTGGAAGTGGTTTCTTGCGGTGTGAAGCCCATGGTGGCTGGGTGTCAGGGGATACACCACCTTGTTTTAGGTTTTAAAATGTGCTGCTGACATTTAATGTGCACCAACCACGTGGCTCTGAATAGAGCATGTACTGTAAGGAGATCAGGTCACGCGTGCAGTGTTCATCCCTGCTCTTCAGATTCCTGTTTTTTTTTTTCTGGAATGTTCGCTTGTTTTGCAGAAGGTTATTCTGTGCTTCTGAATCCGGGCGATTTCTGGAAGGAAATCAATGAGAATGAAAGAGTTGGGTGTTGAAACTCCGGCTCTGCACTTCTTCCAAACCTGCACATTTAATAGATGGCTACGCACAAATCTGGCCTGCAATGTGAGTTCTCTTGAACTTTCGGGGGAGCCCTTTCGGCACCTGTCCGGGGTACCCTGTCACTCTGGATGAATTGCAGCGTCTCTCAGCTCTCAGGTGCGCTGTGTGCTCGGGGATATACAGTAGGTGTTTTTCCCACTGCTCTCATCACTCCCACTGTGGCCCTGAAGCTGTCCTGCTGGGCCGGCTGGTTGTTTTATTTACTTTCATGGCCGTGAGGCCCAAGGGCAAGATCTATTAATCAGGTTTTGCAAAGAAATCCCAAGACCATGATAAGAGCCTGTTACCAAATGAAGGTGACACAGCAACGACTAACAGGAAATGCTCTAGAATGGGAGCTGCCTGAATAGGGAAGAGTGACTTGCTTTCAAATGTGCACAGGGGGGAAGCAGAAATAATATTGGTGCCCATCTGCACTTAAAATGGGACCTCACCTGTTACTAGAGGGGTTCGTGGCTATGGGGGGTGGACATGGATTCAGATCTCGGGTGGGATGGTGTTGCTGAACTCCTGAATGCATGGCAGCTGTCTGTCGTTATTCTACATGTTTGTTCCTAGTTGACTTGTCTGGTTAAATAAAGGTTTCATAAATGTTGCCTTCTAGTAACGGCTTTTCAGGATCCATGAAGTTATGTGAAGTGTGTTTCATTAGTTTTGTTCCACGGCACAAAACGAGAGCCGTTAAATGTTTTCAGCCCAATATGGATCAGTTTTTTTGTCTTTCTTCTTCGGATGTGCCAAGTGCTCAAGTCTCTTTCCTCAAGATCCTTAAGTGTACAAATCCAGCAGGTCTTTTGTACTGTAGGTCTCCCTAAATCAGCAGTGGCTTCAGACCTGTGGCAGGGGTAAATTAGTCCAGCTTTACCTCACTGAGCTTAGTTAACCCTCATCCTGTTGGTGAATGGAAAGAGACTTGCAAAACCTTCTGGCCAGCACCCCTGAGGAAGGGCCCCCAGGTCTAAAAGTGTCTTAATCCCCTTGCTGTGGAGTGGACACTCTTTCAATCTGGAGACTGTCCCTGAATAATGCACTAGGCCTGAATGCAAGACATGGCTGCCTTTGGGTCGGTTGGTTTTATTTTTCACTTGGTTTTGTAGATTTTCATCTCTGCACCAAGGCTATTTGCAGGGCGGTGCCTTGTTTTACGTGTTCATGCTGCTGTAGTTTCAGATCCCCGTTTGTAAAGTCTTTAAAAGAAGCATGATGCTGGTTGATGATGACCGAGGATAAAAGGCACTATCGGTATCTCTCCCTCCTCCCGTCCCCTTTCGGTGAAGAAAAAGAAGCCGGGGACACTCTGCACAGCCCAAGTGGAGAAAGAAGAAAAAATTTCACCCGTTTCCTGTTAGATTTAGTTCCTTTTGTGTTATTGAAGAGCATCCCCCTAACCCCAACTCATTTGTCTTCCTGAAGGACAGAGAACAGTGTGATAAGCTTCGGATTTTCAGCCCTGACCTGCACCATGTGGAGAAACAAATCCGCAGGACCAGTTATCATCCTAGAATTAATGTCAGGGGTGACTGATTTTGGAGCAGCAGTAGTTTATTTTCAAGTGTGGGATTTTGATGCCCTTGTTATGATTCTGTGTTTTTGTTTTCAATTTGTTTTGGTTGGTATCCACACAGATGTGTAAGAACTATCAATCATTCACAAGGTGCCTCCATTTTGCCTGTGCACAGAGTTCAAGTCATTTTAGCTTTCACAGGCTGCAGGCTTTTCTGTGTTAACCAGCACCAGCAGGATGTTTGTGCTTGTTAGACTGAGTGAACTTGCAGTCAGACGTGTTAAATTAAAGATTAGAAATACATTGTTCATGTGGTGCATCATCATAACTCGTATCGTTTAAAAGGGGCAACAGCTCCTAAAGTATATAATGTTCAACCTGCAATATAGTAGGAAATATTTGTTCCTCGTGTTTGTTTTGCTAGGCTTTGACTAAAAAGTACTTGTTTTCTGTGTCTCCTTTATGCGCGTTTAATACAGAATAATGCTTTTCCTCGAGTTTGTGTTTAAGTGATGAGAGCTTTGTGTTCAAAGACTAAGCTGAAATGATGAAGTCGTGCTGAATGCAGACTGGGCACCTGACAGCAGAACAGCACTGTGTAAAACCTGTGAAATTGCATTTAGACTTTGAAACCAAAAAGTGATAGGATTTTTCTTTAAAAGGTGCTAGCTATATTAAGTTTTCATTTGTACACGTTGTGTTATTTTGCAGACATTTCAATCTCCGAATGAAGAGGGATGCATCCATGTTTACGCAAGACTTCAAAGTGGAATTCGCTGGAGAAGAACTGGATTATGACACCTCCCACATCTACACAGGAGAACTCTACGGTAAGTCTGTTAATTATCTCCAGGAAGGCTTCACTTCCCCACAGGGAGGAGATAATCTTCCAGGGAAGCATATTTTGGTGTGTATGTGCAGGAGAAACTGGGTGTGTGAAAACTCCAGATGTTAGTGTTTGTAGAAGTAGGAAGAATGTTGAAAGCTGGTGTTCCTGTTCACTAAGAAAAGCCAAATGTGTGGATCTGTACCAGAATGCTTGCCCGTCTCTCATGCCTGCCATCTCAGCGATGCTTGTCAGATCTGCATGTGTACGTGTCTCCTTGCCCCACTCCGTTAGACCTGCCCGTGTGTCTTGGTGACATCGGAGAAACAGCTGTGCCTGGCAGAGGGAGTGTGGGAGTTGGCAATCAGTAGGGTTGAGATTATACTGTTCTGCCAGCAGCCATATCACCCTGCAGCTCACAGCTGGCAGCCCACTGAAGGTCAGCAGGTGTGGGCCTGGTCAGTACCTGGATGGGAGACTCCTGGGAAAGCTAAGGTTGCTGCTGGAAAGGGGTTAGTGGGGCCAGTAGGGGGTTCTCACCCTGCAGTCTGTGTGGGTCCTAATGCCCCAGTATAGTGATGGGGACACTATACTATAAAAAGGCACCATCTAGGGTACTAGGTGAGACTGAGACTAGGGTAGGGGTGTTACCCCAGCGTCCTGGCCAAACTTCCGAATGGCCTTTACCAATCATGGCCTCCTAATAAACCCCATCTCTGAAGTGGCTTCATCACTCTGTTCTCCTCCCCACTGATAGCTGATGTGTGGTGAGAGTACTGGAGCACTATGGCTGCTGTCGCATCATCCAGGTGGGGTCCCCATTACATGAAAGGGCCTTGAGTGGAGCGTGCAGAAAAACGGTATATAAATGTAAGGATTTTTTCATGATTCACACTGTTGTTGTCGTTGTCACTCTTCACTACTCGCAGGCCAGTGGGTGTGGTTTGAAACATGTTTAAATAGAACTGCTGATAAAACAAACTGTAGGTGTGTGTTGAAACAACAATTCCATTCTGTAGGGAAGGGACCGTTGTTGAGTTTGAGGTGCATTGGATTTCTTCACCTTTTTGGTCAGTGAAATGGTTTAGAGGAGAAAAAAAACAAGCACATGGTAAAAAAGGCATTTTGCAGCAGTAAAGTAACATGAACTGATTTTTTTAATTAATTGGGGAATTCTCAAGGGAAAAGCAATTTAGAGCAGACAGATACATAGCAAATTTCAAAACGGTCACAATCTCAATTTTGTGACGAAGTGCAATGGTCACTCCTTTTCTTGAACATCAGCATTCGTCATCTTGACGTTCAGTGAGCTCTGTGTGTGAGACAGCTTTGAGCTCGAGGTACAGATGTTCTCCTCCCGTCACACCTGGAAGAATATTGTAGCACAGTGAAAGAGTATCGGAGAGAGATTCAGATAAATACTTCTCATTTATCCTGGAAGGATCATAAATAAACTTCTTGAACACTAGACATAATTGGAAAGAAAGACAGGAATGCAACTCTCAAGTCTCAACAATAATAGTGCAACCAAGCAACCCTGAATAGTTTGCTCGTTTCCTGGACCAAAGAAAAAGGAAACACCATCAGGTGTTGGGCCTCCACATGCTGTCGTTATGGTTTGAATGTGCAGTGGCATAGAGTCTACCACCATCTGAAATTCTCACTTTTTGTCCACTACCTGTATGATGTGTGGAGTTCAGATGCCTGTTTCTATAGGTTTAAAATTTCTTCAGCTTTAAACACGTTGCCTGGACACATGTGTGGAGTTTTGCAGGTTGCATGCTGGCAAATCTGTAAATGTAATCAGCGTTGTTTATTCCTCAGGACTCTGAGCACGCTGTAACAGTAGCGGATCTGCAGATAACACAGCTGATTTATGTGCAGTCTGCTTGTACCGTTAACTTCATGATTCTGCCCTATACAGCAGGTCCCCGAAGAAGCATGCCTTTCATTTTTCTTCTGCAGGAACCTATTACAGTCATATCATGTCCTCAGCTGCTTGGGTTGTGCTGATAAATTTAATTGCTTGAAGGTACTTTGAGTGACTTAAGTAATAATCAGAATCGGCATAAAAAGATGTTAATGACTTGCCGTCTGTGATGACTAACAGATTGACTTCTAGCTTTTAAAAGAAGAAGAAAAAGATTTCCTTGCTTTAATTGGTTTTCTGCTTCTCTTGCAAGAGAGCAATTTTCTTCTGGACTTGTACAAAGCCTCCAGAGTTTGTACAGATTTTAGCATATTGTCTTAAAATATAATAGTTTTGATGGAACTTCAATAATTTATTGGAAGCCAGGTTTTTCTTTATAACTCACCTCTTTACAGAAGAATTTCGCTTGTGTTCCAGCTTATTAAAGGGCTGCGGGGCAGAGGGCACCTTAGTCTGAAGTTTTGTTTTGGGGAAATGTGTTGGTTTCCTTTTCCCCGTCGCACAAAGCCCATCGAGGAGGATGTTGTGCTGACAGAGGGGGAAGCCACAGCGGCTCACAGCTCACAAGGTTGAAATGCCAAGAGTGGGGTGTAGTTGTCTGACAAGAGCACGGTGCGTTGTGACTGTACACGCCACAAGTATCTAAAAGCCCAACACGCGCTGCGCAAGGACGGCTCTCTTACGTCTAGGCGCCGCCCTTCCTTCCTGGAAGCACTATCGCTTGTGTTCAACAGTGCGCGTTGTGACATGCGCGTGTGACACTCGAACACGACTGGAATGCGTCGGGGATCTGAAAGGACCACCGATGCAGTTTGATTCGACCCAAATAAGAGAAGCCAGCACTGTGCATTGTGCTCTGGAGATTGGCCCACCCGTTCAGTTTGCATGCGTGGCTGTTGCTGTTGGGCTCGCAGAGTGGAGACTGCATGGCATCGCTCCCCAACCAGCTCTCAGCACGGAGTGCAGCCATACTTTGTCATCCCTGTTGCACTGCTTGCGGAGGGACATAGGAAGATGAACACGAGAGGCAGTCCATTTCTGGTAGTGCTGTCCCCCCCCCCCCATCCCTTGAAGGAATTAGAGCCAGCCTGACAACCGCCTTTTAAATATGCATAAACTTTTCTTTACGCTTTTAAATATGTCAGATTGGCTGGTGTGCACTTTTGTAAAAAGAAGAATGAAGAACGGTGGAAATGTTTTCTTTATAATTACAATTCCTTACACACAAGTGGTGCAAGAGCAGTCTGTTGGCTGGATCGTGAACTGCAAGACATTTTTCCTTGAGATGTTGTCAAAATTCATGCCGTCTCCATTATGTCTTCTGTATTTTCTCCAGACACACCATCACACTCCCTCTGTTTCCCAGTAGCAAGTATTCCGTTTGTTTTGAAAATCAGCCTTATCAGCAATTGCTTTTGGGACTGGTCTCTGAACAGCTGTTGAAATCTGTACCAAAATGTTGTCTTCTGGTTTCTGCATCGAGGCAAGCGCCGTTTTGACTCACTTGCGGGAAGGCTGCTCCATGCCAGTTCTCGATAACCGCTCTGTGGTTTGTCTTGCGGGTGTCCCTGTTTGGCCTTCCCTTGCTGAGCCAGTTATGCCCCCCTTACTGGTAAATAAATGAGGGAGGACTTTTTGTTTTCCTAGGAATGGAACATGTTTTGTATTAAATAATTTCTTAAAGGCAGGTGTCACATTATGTATGGTCAAGTCCTGATTTGCTACTGGGGATTGTACCATTTTTTGGAAAGTTTTAGAACAGGTCATGTTTAATAGTGAACAAAACTGAGACCTGTTTGACGCAAACACGGTCATGCTCTTCAGTAAGTTCGTTTCTCTTAGTCTCAGATGCCCGTTAGTCATTAATAGACCATTAGCCTGAGCGTATTAGCTATTGGTGAATCCATCTTGTTTTCCCCACATTTTTGTCTCTTTTCTAAGGTGCCCAGCTCTTAAAGGTAAGGTAGTCATGTTCTTTCTCACTTACACCTTGAGTTCTCATTGCTGCCGGTTCCTGCTTTGTTCTGGGGAGCTGTCCAAGGAGGCACCTGGATGTGGACATAAATACAGCCCTTCCTCAGGAGGGAAGCCTGCTCCGCTTTCCGGGAGAAACGGCCTTGCCAGTGGGAGTGACCTCAGTGACCCCAGCTGAGCCGTTCACCAATCGCTTTCTCCTGCCTCCCTAGCAGGTGAATCAGGCCTGCTATCTGCTTGCTCCTCTGTGGAGGTCTGTCTTCACGTGCAGGATGAACGCAGTCTGGTGGCTGTGTACAGGATTGTTGTTTTGTTTCTGCTGGTGTAGAACTTGTCCTCGTGTGGCAGAGGGCCCCAGTCTGAGTGCCCGGCAGGAGCCAAGTGCACACTAACCTGCTCTAACAGAGGGAACGCTTCCGTGTCGCCTTCTGCAGCCAGCCTGGAGCTCGGGACTGGCTAACGGTAGTCGTTTGAAACAAATAAAAAAAAATCATCCCTGTTGACAATGCGTCATATGGGTGTCCTATTCCAGCCCCACACTGGAATTTCTGTGCCTTCCAGAGAAGTGGACAGACCTTGCTTGGTCAGGGAAAATCTTTGCAATTCACTTCAGAATTTTTTTTTAGCTCTGGTGATAAAATTCGGAGTTCGCTTGGCTACAAGATGGTGTGTTTTTCTGGAGAAAAGCATTTCTCTTTATGGACTGAGGGGATACAATTTTTGGGTGTGGTGCTGTTGTTTCAGACCTTCCTACATGGAGTGTCTTGCGTAGCCTACAGTAACATACTGGGGTTGCTTTTGGAATCGGTTTTTGGACGTTATGTGTATCTTGGGGCATTGATGACTTATTTCTGTGCTGGAGGTTCTGCACTTCATAATACGACTGGAAAACTGCTCAGCTGCGGTTTGGATTGTTTTCAAGCTGTTTTTCATAAGGGAAGATTTTACATATATTTCTTCACTTAATGGTTACTGGCAATAAATTGTCAACTAGAAATTGTGCTGAGGAATTGGTGGGGTTCTTGTTCCAAATGATTTGTGCTCTGGCCTCTGCCACAACAAAACTGCCGAAATTTGAATGGCACACTTCGTTAAAGGAAAAAATAATTGCAGAGGGAAATGTAGAGGGGCTGCTGGTATAGTAATTGGTCCTGTTTTGATCACAGACATTCTTTTAAAGATTGACCAGACTACAGAAATCTTGTGGACTATAGGAAGTTGGTGCAGTGCATTTCCAAAGGAGAAGGCTTTAAAATAAGCTCTGTGGCCTAGAATAAAAGCAAACCGAGTATGGGTTCACTCTTGCCTTGTGTATAGCGTGTGTGACATTCCAGAGGGACAACATTTCACATGGAATGATTCCTGAAAATCAGAATTCCATCCCTTTTTTGAAAAGTCCTGCCCATGAATTTGTTTACTTGAGATCAAAGAGGAGTAAGAGCTACTCAAGGTTTTGAAAAACTTCCTGAGGTTTATCACATTTCTGCCTCTCCCACCTTTCCAAAGTGTCTGCAGTATTAATGATCGTCTTGCCAACCATAGAGGCCACTGGAAAATTAAAATGCATAAATCTGAGAGAGGATCTTAAATTACCTCCATTTAGTATTGTCCGCTACCATTTGGTGTGGAGGTGCATCTTCCCTACACTTTACAAAGACGGAGTGTGTTAAAATGCTTCTCAAGCAACACAACCTCAAATGAATCATTGTTCCTACATATTTTCTGTTTTGCTTCCTCTGCGGGGAAAAAAAAACCTTCCCTTGTGCAGAAGAGTTTTTTTATACGCGTATTTCTATACCACCAAATGCTGAGGGGGAAAAAAGGATGGTAAAAAAGGATGGTAACAATTGTTAGATAAGGCACTGGACGATTTCTCTATATTTTCTTTTTTTAATGTGTTCGGGTGTTCTGTCCGTGACGTCGTAGGATATTTTGTTTTTCTTTTTTCCTTGATTCTGATATTTTAAAGTGGGCCTTTAACAGTCAAGACCTAAATGACCTAAATGGACAGCTTTTGTTTTTGCTGAGGGAGGTGTTGTAGAGCTGTGTGTCACGGAGGTGCTGTACTGCCCTGCCATCTCTCTCCCTCTCCCTCTGTCTTGGTCGTTCCCTGTTCTGGGTGGGTTGGTGTGCACAAGCTCATTTTTCAGACTGAGGGCGTGGTGCACATTTGGAGTTCAAGAATCTCAAAGTTTGAAAACCTTTCTCTTTTCTCCTCTCGACATGAGAAGACTTGTTTTGTGTAATGGCCACCATGCTGGTGGAGGCTGCTGTTTATACTGTACATGCATGCAATATATTTTTGTATTCAGAATCATGCAGTGCTTTGGTTTGCTTTGTCTTTGCCTAACTTTGATATAAATCAACCAGATCTTTTACAGATTTGAAGTAAATCAAGTAGAATAACACTCCCATTTTCTGTAAGGCTTTTAGGAAAGAATTAGACACATCCAGTCTCTGAAAGGAGACTGCCTATTCCTATTGCCTGTGTAAAGGCTTGTGTGATTGTTTGTGTGCAGTGGTTTAAGGTTTATACTTGTACCCTTTTTCCAGGAGCTGTTGGAACACCTTTAACAATGATGTTGAGCCAGGATCAAGCCGGTATTCTGATGAATCCTGAATTCCTCTCTTGCAGGTGAGAAGGGAACTATGAGTCATGGCTCGATAGTGGACGGGAAGTTCGAGGGCTTCATCCAGACTCATCAAGGCACTTTCTACGTTGAGCCCTCTGAGAGATACATTAAGGACAATGCAGTGCCTTTTCACTCCGTCATCTACCACGAAGATGATATCGGTGAGCCTCTCCACCTAATTCCTTATCTTTCCCAGAGCCCAGGGATGGGATGGACCAGGGAGAAGGGTTTCTCTCTCTACAACTCAAAAGCTTTTCTTGCCAAGGGGCTGCAGCAGTCCATGAAAAAACACGGACAGGACTGCGGGGCTGATTTTTGTGCTTAGACATGGAGCAAATGTTTTGGTGCCAGTTGGACTGCGTACTTTCTGGATTCCTTCCGACAGGTGGGCGACGGTACGGGGGTCTCGTCATTGGCTGGCAAAGCAGGCTGGTGCTGGGCAGGCGATTCAGCCTGTGAGGGCGAGGCGGGGCAGGGAGAGCCGGACGTGATGCAGATGTCCACCTCTCTTTCACATGTCGCAGGACCACCTCAGTTGTTCTCCTTCCCCCCCCTTAAAAGCTGCTTTTTAGGAAAGTGCAGCAGAATTGAATTGTTTAAAGTTTGATTAGCCAGCAGCATGAAATTAAGATACCAGACACTGCTCCTAAATATAAACCTTGATGGAAATGCTATCGGTTTAATTGCAGCTGTCATCAGCTAGCAGAGGGATGAGTCATCTTGTCATCTTCTGTTCGCCACCTCTACAGCACAATGCCAGTTGTTTAAGCAGTTTTCATGTCTCTTTTTTTTTATTCCAGCAGAATTAGGGTTTTTTAGTTTAAGTGCGGTCGTTATCTGCTCCGACACGGGTTGCAATGATGGGGGTTGGCACACTTGGCTTCTCCATGTTGATGTGCTGGGACTCGGAAGACGTGGCGAGAATTCACACAGGAGGAGCCGGGAAGGGAGATTAAATCCCTAAATTGCTGTTTCCCCTCTGGGAGGGGAACAACACGCCTAGCGCCGAGCCCTTGTTTTGTCAACGGGAGAGCACGATGACCTTGAACGGCCTAGTCTCTCCTGTAAGTTGCCATGATCTGTTTTGATTTTAAGTAGCCTTTGCGTGCACACTTTAAAGGAACACCTAAGGTTTTCTGTAGCAATCTCAAGATGTATGGTGTTAACTTGTTCTGCTGTCAGGACAGATGTAGAGTAGTGTGACAGATAACTCATTCCCCAACCTGAACTAACACTTAACGTCCATTAGGCGGTCTTCAAGGAGCCTCTGGAGTTTTATTCCGGCTTGAATGGATTAGTTCAGCTGCAGTCATCACGTTTTTCATTATTATTCCACTAATGTTTAAATTAGCGCAGTAGAAGAACCAAACTGATACACTCAGCTAGAATCATTAGAAAGTTAATCTGAATTTTAAATTACTGTGAGCAGTGATTGGTGTAACGGCATCTCTTTTTTAAAATGCAAAAATCTCCCATTACGTTTAAGATAAGATCACTTTATTGGCCATATACAATTTCTTGTATTAGGAATTTTGTCTTTTCGCATACCCCTCCATGAGACACACAGGGAGAGAAGCTTGGGGTCAGAGCGCAGGGTCAGCCATTTATACGGCGCCCCTGGAGCATTAGGATTAGGATTCCTCTGCCGGCTGCGGGATACGAACCTGCAACCTTCCAGCGACAGGCGCAGATCCTTAGCCACAGAGTCACCACACCGCCCATCTGATGAAATCAAACTCCGTGACCATGCACAGCTGGGGAACAAGGAAGAGCAGACAGACACCTTTGCCCCGCCCACCTTTGAGCCAATTGTCTTTTAGCACATAACTGGATGTCGAGCCCTATGACAGTGGTTCAGCACCAATGGGAGGATAGGTGCATCAATCACTGACAGCACCACACGCCTACAGTCCCCGTTAGCGCTTGACTCAGGTCCGAACCCAGGATCACAGAGGTTAGTCTGCACTGGGTGGAACCCCTTTACTGGTCGAGGCTCTCGGGAGATTCATTGCTATGCTATTCATTGACGACATGACAATATTGATCATTGCCTCAGTGACACTGGTTTGACACTATTTTCAGCATAGACCTGAAGTGTGAAAGTGTTTATTTTTCTGGTGCCATATACATATTCAAATGGTACATTTGGCACATTTTGTCTGAACAATCTTTATAAAGTAAAGCAGCTGAAAGATTATCTCAGATGTATAACTGCCAATTACGGACAAGCTGTAAAAGGAAAGGCCAGGAAAATGGACTAGTGCACCAGACAGGAATTTGTTTTTCAAACTAAGGTCTAATAGTGAGCATCAGCTTGTTCCCAGGAAATGAAACATTCCTGCAGTACTATTCGGCTCACAGTGAAGCAGTAGCAGATGAAATACAAAGTGAGTAACATACCAAAATGTTCAAGGATTTAAATGTTCCAGAAGTACCACGTTTAAGTAGCAGGGGTATACATTATAGATCTGCAGTAGGTGACTCCAAACATGACAAAGGAACCCACTTGCCGTGTCAGTTTCACAGTGGTTCATCATGCTGTTCTCTCTGGGGGGAAAAAAACGGAAGTTTGATCCTGTTTGTGTCTTGGACTACAATTGACAAATTCCGTTAGTGATTTAAACAGCATTACGTCAATCAAACACATTATTTCATTTGCCCCACGCCCCTTCCTACCACCAAAAGATGTGGTTTGTCTGAATCACCGAATATAAGCACTTGAGTTGGTGCAGTAGCAGTTAAAGAAAGACTTACAATCTATAAACAAAAAAAAGTGTGCCAACTCGCTTAGTTTACATTCAAGCTTTCAGTTGAGCTCAGTGGTTCTCAAACTTTTTGGACCAAGTACCACCCCTGATCAAACCATTGCATCCCAGGTACCACCTACAAGTCATCATCTCCTAGGAACCCCAGAAAATCTCAATGACCAACATGGTCATGCATGCGCAAACACCCACACACACATTTAATAAATAGCACTGAGCACTTAACATTTCAGTGAGAGGGGTGAGCCTGGTTAGTCGAGCAAGTCTTGCAATGTCGGGGACAAGGGTAGTAAGCTTCAAATGCAGATCTGGCTCAGCATCCATTTTGTTGCGGCCCGTACCTGAGACCCGACCTGACCAAGTCCCAATGGTACTGACAAATTTGAAAACCGAACCCGAAATCGGTCTCTTTTCCTCTCAGAGCGAGTAGACACACGTGCACTGAGAGACGGATTCTCACAGACGTGGTTTTGCAGTGCTTTGCTCTGCTGCTGTGTGCTTGAGTTGATAGAAAATGCCGTGCGCTGAGAAAAACTGGTATTTTATAAATCTGTAATATTTTTCAAAGTGAGGAACAGCTGATAACCGTTAGCTAGATAGGCTCTGTTACACTCATACGAGAGAGACAGAACGAGCGAGCGCGCAAAATGAGTTACGAATTTCTCATTATGAAAATTGAAAACGATAATTCATTTTCACTTATTAGAAAGCAAACCCAAACCCAAACCCGGCCTGAGCCCGAAGTTGTCTGTAAAAAACCGAACTAAACCCGGCCTGAAACCCGATACTTTGTCGCGCCCCGTCAGGCTCGGGTCGGGTAGCAGACCGCTAATAGGAGCCCTTGTGTCCACGTAAGTATTAGCGCGCGCTGTATAAACGTAGCCAAGTACGTAGGCTGCATATTTGACACACAAACTAATTTTATTCAAATAGAAAATATGAAAACCTGTCTCAAGCTTTCTGAAACCGATTTAAGTAAATTACAGATTAAAAAATTACATAATTTTTAATTATTCAGTTTTTAGTTACCAATTTTTCAGTGCACACAACAAATTTCCAGGGTCATCTGGCATACCACCTGGGGGCGCGCTGCATACCACAGTTTGAGAACCACAGCTCTAGGGAACAGGAGATACTTCGTTGTACAAGAGTGAAGAACGTTCGTGTTTCCAACAAGCAAATAAATGCAATGCGTGCAGAAAACCAGCTCAAAATAGTCTCAAGTCGACACCAGCAGGGAGCAGAATCTTGCTTCGGGCCTGTCATGCTGTTGCATTGGTGGTAGAACAACAATGAAAGCCCATCTTTAATGTCTCGTCCAAACGTGTTGCTCTTTGTCAGCACAGTCTGTGTTATTTTAGTCTGAAGTGGGTAAAGCAGTATGTAAAGAGATATTTGGCCTAAGATCATTATTTAAAAAAATGTAATGAAAAATTTCTGAACTAATTCCTTTCTAATAAGTCTGACAGTCTCTAGTTATAATAGCTCTCATTAAGCTGCTCTTCTGGCAGATGTGAAGGCGAGTCTCCCTTGGGTCGTCTTGGCATTCGGACCCGCGCTTACGGTGGCACGTGCTGGCTCTGCCCTGTGCCGGGGGAGGCTTCATGGACGCGCCACGCTTCCAGTCCGGCCCTGCGTGGTGGCGGCGGCCTGGCACACGGAGTCTTTCGCAAAAGCGGGAATGGCGATCGCATTCTCACGCGTGGGGGAAAAAAAAAACCTCCGCGTCCCGCAAGGCTCTGCCCACGGGCGAGCCTGGGGACAGCAGGTGTCTGAGCATGGCGAGGATGAATAAGGGTTCCCTGAGCTAATAGGTGTTCCCTACTGGCAGATTTGTTAGCTTGCATGGCCAGGACCAGCTCTTGGTGTTCGTAGGCCCTAGACACTTTCACTCCGAAATGTGCAAAAAGGAGGGGTGATTGCCAGTTGAACTGCATCGACTGACATGATGCACTTTCAACTATTCTGATGCTAAACCACGTGATGGATGGAGCGAGACGAGCGACCATCACTTCGATACTTCTGGTTTCTAGAACAGCTGCTTAAGAGCGCGTGATTATTGACTTGGAGCACCTAGAGTCAATCGCAAGCGTGTTGTTTCAGCTCGTTTTTCGTTAGTAACTCGTGTTTCCCTCCTTCGTAGGCCCTAGGCACTGTGTGTGGCCCTAGAGGCCAAGCCTACTGCCTTTCGTCTGTGACGAGCTCCTGACACTCATGGGCATCCGGCACGTTCACTGGCACAAATACTGAGGGGCTTCTGTCTGATGTCTGGTAAATAGGGGTGGGAAGGGGTCTACGACCCCCAAAACACCCGCTTTCCCCAGAGCTGTGGGGAGGAGTCTTTGCTGGAGCGGCGCCTCCTGTCGGTGGATGAGCCTGGGGACAGGACCGGATCT